CCAGCAACCACATGGTGGCTCACAACCACCTATAATGAGATCTGGTGCCCTCTTCTGGCCTGCAGTCATATGTGCTGTATACATAATAAATAAATAAATCTTTTTTTTTTTTTTTTTTTTTTTTAAAAGGAGCAGTTAATCCTGCCAAGGACCCATCTCAGTTCCCAGCACCCACATTCTGGCTCACAGTCATCTGAAAGCCCAGTTCCAGGGGCTCTGATACCCTCTGCTGACCTTAGTAAACACCAGGCATGCACAGGGCACACAGACATACATGCAGGCAAAACACCCACACACTTAAAATTGAAAAATCTAAAAAGAGAGCGAGGCGTGGTGGCACGGGTCTTTAATCCCAGCACCTGAGAGGCGGAGGCAATGGATCTCTATGAGTTTGAGGCCAGCAAGAGCAAAGAGTGAGACTCTATTTCAAAAAACAAAAAATGAAAAAGCAAAAGTAAAATCAGACCTGCTAGGATATACATACATACATACATACATACATACATACATACACACACACACACACACACACACACACACACACACACAGACATTGTGGTGCCAGGGACTGAATCCAGGGTCTTGCACATTCTAGGCAAGTGCTCTAACATTAAGCTACATTCCTAGCCATTTTTTAAAAAAGATTTATTTATTTATTATGTATACAGTGTTCTGCCTGCATGTATCCCTGCAGACCAGAAGAAGGAGCCAGATCTCATTACAGATGGTTGTGAGCAGCCATGTGGTTGCTGGGAATTGAACTCAGGACCTCTGGAAGAGCAGCCAGTGCTCTTAACCTCTGAGCCATCTCTCCAGCCCCCTAGCCATTTTTTTTTATTTATTTCTGTGTGTGTGTGTGTGTGTGTGTGTGTGTGTGTGTGTGTGTACAGTCATTATTTTAATTGTTTTTTGTTTGTTTTGTTTTGAGACAGGTTCTTACTATGTAGCACTGGCTAGCCTAGAACTCCTTATGTTGATCATGTCTGCTCTGCCTCATGATTGCCACCATGCCAAGCTATTTTGTTAAAGATTTATTTCTTTATACTTATGTGTAGGAGTGTTTTTCCTGTGTGTATGTAAGTGTAATTCATGCATGCCAGGAGCCCTCAGGTGCCAGAAGAGGGCACTGGATCCCTGGTACTAATTGAGACCTATCATGTGGGTGCAGGAACTGAACTCTGGTCCTCTTACAAGAGCAGCAAGGAATCTTTTTTTTTTTTTTTTGGTTGTTTTTTTTTTTTGGTTTTTCGAGACAGGATTTCTCTGTGTAGCTTTGCGCGTTTCCTGGAACTCACTTGGTAGCCCAGGCTGGCCTCGAACTCACAGAGATCCGCCTGGCTCTGCCTCCCGAGTGCTGGGATTAAAGGCGTGCGCCACCACCGCCCGGCCAGCAGCAAGGATTCTTAATGGCTGAAGCATTTCTCCAGTTCTTTTGACTTTTTATTTTGAGACAAGATCTCATTAACTAGGGTGTCTTGGAACTCACTTGTAGGCAGAGTTTTCCTGTCCTGACCACCTGCTCCCAAATAACTGGCAGCCACTTCCCAAATAACTGACTCAGAGATGTAATGTAAATTATAAATGCTTGGCCAATAGCTCATGCTTGTTACTAACTAGCTCTTACAATGTAAACCATTTATTTTTAAATCTCTTTATTTATTATGTATACAGTGTTCTGTCTGCACATATCCCTGCAAGCCAGAAGAGGGCACCAGGGAATTGAACTCAGGACCTTTAGAAGAACAAGCAGTGCTCTTAACCTCTGAGCCATCTCTCCAGCCCCACAATGTAAACCATTTAAATTAATCTATGTGCTGCCCAAGACTCTTGGCTTTTATCTCTATCCTATTTTGTGTATCTGCCTTATTCTCTGGCTGGCTGGTGACTCTATGACTCCACCCTTCCTCATCCCATCATTCTCTGCCTAAGTTTATCTTGTTCAGCTATTGGCTAGTCATCTTGTTTATTAAACCAGCCATAGTGACATATATTCACACAGTGTACAGAAGGATTATTCCACAGCACTCACTCCTGTGATCTTGCCTCCTCAGCCTCCTGAGTAGCATGAATTTCAAAGCTGTGTCACCCTGGGCTTTTTCTTTTGTTTTGAGACAGGATCTCATGAAGCTTGCTGTGGCCTCAAACTCACTTGCTATGTAGTGGAGTATGACATTGAACTCCTGATCCTCCTGCTTCCACCTCCCAAACCCTGGCATCACAGGTGTGCACCCACACCTGGCCCTTAAAGCTGTGTCTCCTCCACTATACAGTGCCCAGTACCTTTTAAAAAACTGTGCATTTATTCGCTTAACGAATTTATAGCTTAAGCACCAGACCCAGCCGCGTTCCTATGCAGCGTAGGTTCCAATGGAGAGGTTCACATTCATCACACAATCACAAGCATGGATAAATAAAGCCGCTGGGCTTTATCTATCAGCTCTCCGGAGAGAAGGTCTCTGGTGATGCGAAGGCATCATGAGGAGGGTATCTAACTGAGTTAGAGGCATGGTTGGAATGAGTGAATGAGGATGAGGCAAGAAAGGCCAGAAGGATGAGCCCTGCAAGACTCTGGATGCAGAAATATGCATTCACAATCTAATGGAGAGGCAGGCAGGCAGTCCAGAGCGTGGAATGCCAGTACAGGGGCATTCTGGGGGAATAGATGGATTGGGGAATGGGCAGGGTGCCCAGGTACTTGGCCCTGTTAGAGCTCCATGTGCATCTGGGGGACTGAGGCGGGGAGTGGGGGGGGGAGTGGGGGGTGATGGCACAGGAGGCTTTGACTGAGCACCTTGTACACAGACCAGGCCTGGAAGGG